TATTAGGTTTTGTTCCCATACTTGATTCTCAAACAAGCAGTGGTCCTTGGTGCTCTCTGAGGTTGGTTGTTTTCTTGCAGATGTTTCATTACCCAAACTAGGTAATATCAGCTACTGATGATATTATCTAGTTTGGGTAATGAAACATCTGCAAGAAAACAACCTCAGAGAGCACCAAGGACCCCTCATTTCAACCCTGAGCTACAAATGTTCTCCTTTGTTGGTCTCAAACAAGCAGTTATACAACAGTCATTCAAAAATTCAAACTTTCTAGAGCTTGATCTTTTTAAAAAAATCTAAAGAGATCATACATCATAGCATCAAGCAGCAGTATCATTATATGTTTATAATATTATAAATGTTGATTTTGGGTGGCCTCTTTTGGGAACAAACCCATAGGTAAATTCCTCTTACTGAAAGAACCGTGATTTGATTTTTTTGAGAAAAGTGTTGGCTGTCAAAGGCACAGCATTCAATTTACCAAGTAACAGAGTCAAGCGGCCATCCAAATGTAATAAAATACAATTAATGATGAAAAATAATGAATCTCATATAGAAAGAGTTGGTCAAAATTAAGCTTTGGGTGGGTAGATCTGATCATCACTAACAGGATGTTCTGATTTTTCCCACTCATTTAAATATACTTGTCTTGTTAAATATTTAATTGCAGCCATCGTTAATTGTAATAACTTTGCTGAACTGCAACTGTGTCATTTTAAATTCTAGAAAGGAATTGGTTATAAAGGAAGCAAATTTCATCGCGTAATCAAAGATTTTATGATTCAAGGAGGTGACTTTACAGCTGGAGATGGCACTGGAGGTAACACTGCTTTTTTAAAGAAAATATTCATGTTGCCAGGTCCAAATACTAGAAAATGTGTCTTGACTGTTGTAGACCCAGCCTTTTGGATCAACCTTCACAGATTAGAATAGGCTCAACTTTATTGGCCTGTCATGAGGCTTTAAAAATATAGCCATCTGGTCCTGAATTAAGGGCCTCATTTCTTGGCTTCACTGACAATTGTTATAATTCTCTTGATTGCTGTGTATGTTTATTTTTGACAGTTTTTCATTGTTTTTGCACTGTTTGCTGTCAGAGTCACTTGATTGAGATGGAAGGCTACAGCAATGAAATATAAATAAATGAATAAACAAGCTATATCATATGCACCCTTATTGTTCATCCATCCATCCACCCACCCATCTATCTATGGCATATTATAAGAATAAAAACATTTCTCTTTAAATATAACATACTATAAAATTTTGGAACTGTGCATCATCCTGTACATACATCATGCAGTATGTATTAAAACACACATCTGCACACATATATCTACTCATACTGTTAAATGTTTGCTTAGCAGCAATTTCCCTTAAACTAATTTGACTTTACACTGTTGAATACATTTTGCATAGCTCTACCAGTGAGAGTCCTGTATTGTAAAACTTTCTAAACAATGCTTTTAATAGCCTTGCTTCTTCTGAGGAAAACCAGTATTTTTTCATCTAGGAAGAAGCATCTACGGAGATAGGTTTCCTGATGAAAACTTCAAACTGAAGCACTATGGCATTGGTTGGGTCAGCATGGCTAATTCCGGCCCAGACACTAACGGCTCCCAGTTCTTCATTGCTGTAACAAAGCCTGGCTGGTTAGATGGAAAACATGTAGTATTTGGAAAAGTCATTGATGGAATGGTAGGTGAAATCTTAAATGGTTTTATTTATTAGAAATAGAATACTGTTCTGAGTAAGTTTCTTTGGTTCTAAAAGTGTATCAATTGCATACTTCCAATGAAAAGTTAACAATGCTTAGAAGAAGCATCTTCTTATTGATGGAACAAGGATTGTGTAATTTCCTAGTTAGTGATAATTACCTGTTGTTTTATTTTCATAATCAAGAAAGAATTTCTTATCCTTCTTCCCTTTGCAAAATACCAAGAAGGGGTTTAGTTTTATTTGTCAATAAGATTGTAGGTCGTATAGTGTTTATATTATTTTAATGATTCAGAAGTTGTACAGAGCTACAGCAAAGGAGACAGCTTTCTCTCAAATTAAGTTTCTTCTAGAATGCAAGCCTTATCATTATATCTGATCATAGCTGTGATGCAGAGTTGATTTTTTGACTGAAAGGCCATTTATGTAAATAACTTTGAAATGAGGAATTTATTGTAAAGGAGTTGTTTTATTTTTCTTTTTTTATTCCCTTTCTGTTTACTTTGTTGTAGAAATAATTAGGACAGAAAAATAGATTGCATGGTGATGAGCATGTAGAAATTTAAAACCTCTAAAGTGAAAAATATCACAAAATTTAGAATGTAGCACGTGTTTTATTTATTGTTGTGTTTCATACCTAGTTTTTCCTTTTCATCAAAAACCACACTCTCTTTAGTCCGTAGTACATGATATTGAACTTCAGGCAACAGATGACTATGACCAGCCTCTTCAGGACTGTATGATCATTAACAGTGGAAAAATAGATGTAAAAGAACCTTTTGTGGTTGAAGTAGATGATTGGAGAAGTTGACAGAAATAGGAGCAACTGAGCTGCAATCATGTCTGGTTATCATTGTGTGAGGCTTCTATCAGAAAATACTTTGCAGAAGCTGTACAACTTGACCTTGCAGGTAACAGAAAATACCTGCGTATTAAATGAAGAAATGCTATGATATTGCCTTTCTAGGGTAAAACATTTCATAAGTGTTGATTTAAAGAGATTGACACGGAGATGTTTTTACAGTATATACTACAAATGTTTATAGCCCCTTGTTCTTTGTTTATTAGTATTCATCTTATGAATATTTTTAATGTCTTTGCGTAGTAATTTTAAAACTTTGAACAAAAACCTTCCTAATTCAACTGGCACTTCTTTAGCACATATTGTGTGGATTTCCTAATTTATTAATATGAAAATAGACAAGAAAGAATTACTATGTAATTGAACAAATTATACTGACATAACAAATGCCTTGCATCATACCTTTCAACAATACATAGATATCATTTATTAAAATAGTTCATTTCCAATTTTGGTTTGAATTTGTCAAAATGCAAAATATGTCATTATTATAGTTACATATTATTTTTATTTTATCATTTAAATCTTGTTTACTTACCTTATGTACAAATATTAAACTACCGGTGAAAACCACCTGTTTTAAGCAATGCTCTATTTTGTCATGCATATTTTTTTACTAATCCAGACCAATTAGTTTTAAAAGATGTAAATATATTTTCATTTTCTATACCTAACACAATAGTAATAATATAAATGAAGACAAGAGTATCATTTATTGTCATAAATTATTTTCCATATTTCTGCCCATATTCATTACAGCTAACAATAAGGAGAAAAACACGAATCTATCACTATTAAACCAATTCAGAATGAAAAGGCTTGATCATAAAAGTCTAGACTTGTTTCAAGACAGTGGAAAAATGTTGGGATTGAATGAAATGGGGAATTGAATTTTATTCAGCATTGGAGAAAATTCTCTCCTGGGTGACAGGCAAATGGACTTCAAAAAATGAAGGTATTTTTAAGAAGACTCTTCTTGACAGGTTCACAGTATTTGGAGCCAAGGCAGGAAAGCTGCTTTGAAGAGGATGTGAATGTACTGTCTGCACCTGCTGTTGCCTCTCTGAGCAATAATATCTACTGCTTGATAAGGTTTGACAGTATCGCTGACAGAGAAGATGGAAAATCCCCAATGGCACAGGAAGTCATTTTAACATTGGTTAAAGTTCATACCAGTGGCCAATTTAACGCTGCCCCAAGAATGATCTGCCAGGACAACTGAGAGATACGAAAACACCTTTGACTGCAACTGTATTTGAAGGGGACAACCAGAACATGCTCTGCTGTGCCAACTACCCATTGGCACAGAGTAATAATTGCTATAGTAGACATGAATCCCCCATGTTAAGCAGTATAGTATGTTACAGGTCCATCCTCAATATTACCCAGCTACGGCACAAATACTCAAAACTGACCAAGTGGTGGATGGACATATGACCAACAAATTAGCATTTTTAGAGACGTGCATTATTTCACTGTGTTTTTGGTTTTATTCTGAATTTTACATGTTGAGAAACAATGTTCATTTGCACAGTTGATAGTATAGACAAACCTTTGGGGATGAAATTAAAATGGACAGATTTTTAACATACATTTGGGCAGAAGCATTATTTTCATTTTTTTCCTCTGGTCTGCTAATGGTTTCTTATTCTTAAATTATGTTAATGTATATTGGTATAGTTTTGAGTACATTTTTTATGTGCTTCCATCTCAAACTTTTGGAAAATTGCTCAATTTTTAGCACATAAAATTAGGGGAAATTCCAGGAGCTGTAAAAAGGATAGTGAAGTTGAACTGCCCTTGGACTGGCTAATTATTTTTATTAATCATGTTCATTATTATTTCTATTACAAAAGGTTAGAAATTAACAAAATTTTCAAAATGATATTAAGCATAGGCTAATAAAAGCATTGCACCTGAGTTTATGACATAAATTAAAACTGAACCAAACTGCTAGAATATACCCATCTCTATTCCTAAAATAATACTCATGTGATATAACATCAGAAATACTGATACACTGAGCTTATATTGCGTCTCCAGTTTTGGTAGTTATTTTTTAACTTACATTTTTAGTCATACATGCTATTATATTTTATGTATCCGCTGCCAGCAGTGGATACAATGCTGAGACAAAAGAATTAGGATAATGATTTATCACAGACACAAAAATTATAAATACATGATGAAAGTTAGTGTAATTTGGCATTTGTCAGCTGTTTTAAAATTTAAGTATTCAGAGTTTAGTATACAGGCTCAACCAAGTAGCATTTCCCCCCCATTCATAATCTTGAAAAGCAGCCATTTTTAGTGATACAATTAAAAAATCCCAAAAAGTTCCATCTTCGTGTATGGATGTCATGCTTCAGTATTTTGACTTTTACTTTTTTTTAAAAAAAAAAAGCCTCCAAAACTTTGCATTGAGGAACATAATTTGAATTTACTCCGATTATTTTCCATCGAAACCCATTTTCTACCTGGGTTGTAGGTGAGGATAAAACAATCCATGGAGAATGCCTTCAACAACTACATTTGGAAAGTCATCTGGGGAAAAAAGAGAGAGAAGAAAAACTGCTTTCTTACATATGTCAATACAATATAAATGTTTTTGTAGAACCTAACAAGGCAAAGCCTGATATAATTTAGGATATTGCATCAGCACCCTCTTTATCTGTGCTCAGAATTTGTTATTGGTAATGCTGTTTCAGCAGGAACCCACTTTAGTGTAGCACTGGGCATTGCTTGAATGCCCTGCCAGATTTGTAGCTTATTGATTTAAAGGGATGTTCTAATACTTAATGCTGCTAGGCTCCAGCTCTTTATCTGAATCTTTTCTCACAAGGAAGATGGATTACACTGGCAATTCAATTTCTAACAAAAATCTCAATACACTTGAAGGAATTCCAAGATTTCTACTGGGAATAGTCCGCAGCAGTTTTTCCACTACAGTTTACAGCACAGTTTTGTCCAAGTTGACTAGAAGAGGCTTAATGCTGTCGCACAAACATCTCTAGAGCAGTAAAACGACAAAGTTTTTAGTTTAAAAAAGAAAAGGGAACTTAAGAACTTTTGGGAAAAGCCCTAGAAAGAAGTTAAGCAAAGTCAATCACTATAACAGATACAGGAATTAAAACAAAATATTCACAAGAAGGAAAATTTCAGTTAAAAAAAACATCCTGAAGTTTATTTTATCTTTGGTGCTTAGAGATAATATTTTTCAATGTTGTATACATTCTTAATTTTTATGGCTAGAATGAAGAAATACCCCCTATATTTAATATTACTCCAATATTCAGCTGTTCATTGTCTTCTGCATTTTAAATCCAATGACATGAATTAAATTTAGTAAGGTCTTGCCTGAAATGGAAAAACACTTCTATATTCACAAATACTGTAAGTTGGAGAAGGGTAGAGAGATTCTTACATTTCCAAGGTAAAAATTATTAAAATGGTGGCATGCAAAGTAATTTCTTATTTCTTCATTTATGGACCAGAAATTAAAAATATAAATATGGATCTTAGAAAGTGAAGAAAGCAGTTGGCTTTATTGTACACAAATTTTTATACTGTGCTAGTACTTTATTCTGTTTGACTGTAATCTTAACTTTACAAAAAGCACTCAATATAGCATGATTTGGTAAGGGCAGGAACTTTATATGAGCCAGACAATCAATTATTACACATATTAATAATCCCAATTCAAATTCTATTTCTATTCCAAAGGCCCTTTTCTGTGGGCTTTACTTTCCACAGTTAACAGTAACTAGCAAGATTAATCTAACCCAAAAAACTATCACAAGAGTGAATAATTAAATACCCTTTCTTTTGCACTATGTCCCAGCCCTTATCAATCACAACAGCAAGTACATTTTATACCTTAAAGAGGAAGGGAGTTTAAGACTTAGTTTGAAGATAAGATGTATTGGAGACATCTAATTTTTCTCACTTCACAGTCTAATTCATGATATCACTGGATATTGGGAATATTTGGGGAGTGGGGGAAACTAGCAAAGATTATGTGAAATATCGTAAACTAATAAAAAGATAACACACATAAGAACACAAAAAAGATTTTTCATCCAACTATTTGTTTTATAATTCTTATCAAAATATTAGCAGTGCTACAAGATTCCATTCCATTTTAAATTCACTTCCAAGAGCTTTGCTATTGATGTAGGAGAGCCAAGATAACAATATCTTTTTAATTTTTATTTGTAGGAGGGCTGTCTGCAAAAAAGTTCATTTCTCAGCAATTACTATAAACAGCATTAAAATAACTCCTGATGCATTGCCAAATTATTAGAATTTGAGCTCAACATACATTTATAACTATGTGGTTTTTGTGGTATGGGGCAGATCAGTAAAGAGCTGTTAATAGATGACAGGTCTGATTACCATTGGCTGTAGGCAAGACATATGGATCCCTTAGGAACAGCAACGCAGGCTGGTGGGACAGTTTGCTGTAAAGGTCAAGAACAGGAATATCAGCATCGAGGGACACTAAACCAAATACATTACAAACTAGCTTTGATAAAGTAAGGCAGTAGAACTGGTTAGGGATACTGCTTTTATATATATAAATTAGTTTTATGGGAAAGGAAAAAAATCCATCATCAAGGAATAATGCTTACACATAGAAGATCACATACAATTCGAGGAATAGGTATATTTACTCAGAACCTAATCCAGCTGAGTCCAGAGAGGTTTAATTTCTCACAAGAGAACCAATGATCATGGTACTAAAACTGGTTTGGTTGTTATACCGTTTGCCTGGAAATAATCTCAGGATAAAGCAAGTAGTTCAAGATTGCAGTTGTCAGCAACTTCAATTCTTTTTTTCTCTTAAGACTTCAACATTAATTTATTTCAGCTGCTAGACCTTGTGTGGATTTAGGACACTTAAAGAAAGTATTAATAATTTTCCTTCCCAGCTTTACACAAAATATGTAAAAAAAAGAAGGAAAACCCATATCATCATATAGATCTGTGGGCAGGAAAACCTGATTTAACTACAGGTAAATTTAATCTCTAGGCATCAAAACCAGAATCGCTATAACAGTAGACAGTGTATAGGGAAGTCTAGGTTTTTCTGGTTCAGTAATGCCTACAGAGGAAATATGGAAAAAGGAAATCTAACTGTAATGCAAAACTATTAATTCACATAAGATAAAGAAGCTGACAGATAAGAGCCAATATCAACACAATGAGGTTGTAACATATAAATGCTCTTTAAAATATCCTATTAGGCTCCCTTTCAAAATTATCTTTGTGAGGATGAGTACATTTAACTATGCAATGTTAAATGTCTGATTAACTTCAATATACTGTATATACTCGAGTATAAGCCGAGTTTTTCAGCACATTTTCTGTGCTGAAAAAACCCCCCTCGGTTTATAGTCGAGTGACAGATTCCCCTCTGAAAAAAAAAATGGTGTGGAGCTCCGGAGCTGGGCAGCCGCTTCCCTGCTTCCTTTGCAACTTGTAAGCATGGGGGTAATTGGAAGCAGAAAAGTTCTTGCATGGTTTCCAAGGCGTCCCCTCTCCCCCTAATTCCTACCTCCCCCCCACCTCCGACTCAATAAGCAGCGCTCAGGGTTGCCAGATCGCAGCTTGGCTCTGCGGCCAAACTCAAGTCAAAATACGGCCAAATCCGGCCAAATTATTTTCTCTCACAGCCAAATTTTTTTATGCAATATAACATGAGGATATATTGTTTTTTCTTTTTTTAACTGTTTTTAGGGGGGGGGGGAAAGACCCACTGTCATGTGAGAATGCTCAGACACGAAATCTATCTGCCTGAAAATAAATGTGTGTGTGTGTGTGAGGGGATTTTAACAGAGGGAAGACGTAGGGAGAAGGCAAAAGCGACGGAAGATCCTTCAGGGGAAACTGAGGGGGAGACTCACCCTTGGTCCAGATGAGCCCCCTTCCCCGCCCCTAAGAAAGCAGAGGCAGCCAGCAAGGGCAGGCAAGCCCCACTTCGCGGACTCTGTCCGCCCTCACTCCCACCCACCCAAAGCCACGAAGTCCCCCAATCGCGCAGCCCACAATTGCCCTCCCCTCAGGGGGCAGCAATGACACCCGGCGTTTCCCGAGACAAGAAGCTCCGCCGTGCAATGAAAGCGCCCTGGCTCTAGGCTCGCGGGCTCAGAAAACAATGCGAGCCGCCACCACCACCACCTCCTCCTCCTCCTCCCGAGCGGACTGAAAGCAGCTGGGGCTGAGGAAACGAAGCTCGCATTGTTTTCTGAGCCTCGGCTCGCGTTGTTTTCTGAGCCCGCGAGCCTAGAGCCAGGGCGCTTTCATTGCACAGTGGAGCTTCTTGTCTCGGGAAACACCGGGCGTCGTTGCTGCCCCCTGAGGGGAGGGCGATTCTGGGCTGCACGATTGGGGGACTTCGTGGCTTTGGGTGGGTGGGTGGGTGGAAGCGAGGACGTTGACTTTAAGTGCTGCCGACTGAGTGTTTCACAAATACCAGTGGGACCTCCGTCCACCACCACCCTCCCTCTTTTGCCTCCTTCCTTCTGATCAATCAGGTTTTCCCAGTATTTGCTCACAGCTGCATTTTCTCTTCTGCCATGCTAGGCGTTGAACGCGGGGATTTCTGATTCCCCTTACATGCGCGTGGATATGCCGCGGGGCATTTTCTTCCAAACGCCCCACGGGCAGAGAACACTGACTTTCATGATAGTGAGATCGTTTCCCAAATTAATTGATTCACTAACCCAAAAGAAGAAGATGATGATGACAGCGGGAGGCAGGAGTCACTCTCT